TTCGCGTTTCAACGATTCAATCGGTCCGTTGTACGCAGACCATTGCTGAATTTCAACCTCCATCGCAACGTCAGAGCGTTATCGCGAAATGCAGCCGATCGATAGACCAGAAAATCCTTTTGTCAAGATCGCGACAGCCCTATTTATTTAAGAATATCTACTTGATAAAAACGAATTTAATTTAACGTTCAATTGACTTTATCGCGAAATCATGTATTGACAGCTTAGTATACAAAACAACTGCGACTCCGAGCGAGTATACCTCGCAAGCTCTATGACCGTGCAATTCCTAGGTTCGGTGCAGCACCGAAATTCAGGCAATTCGCGGAAAAGCAGAGCTAAATGTTTATTCGTGAGTCTGTGAATCTTCTCTCGAAGTTCTCGTTCTGCAAATCTAGCAAAATCTCGTTAGGAACCCTCGCGATCTTTTCTTTCTTGGAAAATAGCGTAGTTGTAGATATTATTACGCGACTAATTGATGAAAGTTCGCGAGGAATTAGCATACGCGAGCATGCACTTTTTGCATAATTTAGCCTCACGCGCACCTTAGAAAAAGTATCAGTGGACAAAGATGTGCTCGAAATGTCGCGTTCCACTCGTTTCGCGAAACGAAACCGCGACGGAATCACGGCGAGGATAAAATGATAGCGAAAGTAGGCGAACCCCCCGAGAGATGTCCGCTTTGTCGGGATGAGATCGCCTCGGCGAAAGCGCTGTGAATAGACGCGAGTTAACGAGAAGTTACAGTTCGCGAAGAATTCAGATTTCGCGTTTCACGGTCGATCTAATATCACTCGAAATCGCGACGACGGCGTAAATCCTTCTCTCCGGACGAAATAATCCTCGTGATTCTAACCTGCTGGAAATTTGCTATTGTTTATCGAATTCTATGTTTTCCTTTGCCCGAGTAAAAATGACACATTTCGCCCGCGGAAGCCGATATTTTTCTGCGCGTGTGCTCGAGAAACATCAAGAGCATTCGGTGCCGGATGTACAATCGATCGACAGCTGTCGCGATTCTAAATCGTCGGCAAATACCGCGAGTTACTCAGATTTAGAAATTGGTATGTCCATTAATTATCTTTAGTGGGATACACTTGCACGATTACGGTGTTTACTTGCGGACGGGTTCTGCGAGGACGCGCCGTTCCTCTTTCGATGGACTTGTCAAACCGAATTCGCAAACACGATAAGACTCGGAAATACCGATACACACAACGTAAAATTAAGCCGTGTGTAATTTGAACGACGATGCGTAGGATCGTTCGACTCAGACACTTCGCAACCGTCGTATAAAATGCTCTTTGACACGTGGAACATTCGCGCTAGAAGTACTGAGTATCTTCATTGCATAATAAAACGAATTGCGCTTCGTTTTACTTAATTTGTGACTCTCTAGTCGACGTTATTCCTATATTATTTCGGCGAAATGACTTCGATAGTCGAGTTTGCTTCATTGACGAAATGATTAACGATTCGATAACATTTACACGAAAATGAGCACGTTTATTATGATCTGCTCTGTCTTCCGAAATTTTTTTTAAGTGATGTATTGAGTAACGACAATTTCATTCTGGCTTTTATTATTTAATAAAATATTAGGTAGTTTTGGGGAGTTGTGTGCGTATCAGATTGAATACATAAAATGGCAAGATCTATTGCACATAAATATGCATCCGTAAAATAAAATATATATATGTGTATAGTGATTTATACACTAAGAAGAAAAACATTTAAAAAATCGTAAATATTTTTTTATATGGTGTGAATATTAATAACATATTTATTTAAATTTAAATTCTCTTATATATTTATTTAAATAAAATAAAATAAACAATAAACAATTGTTTTCATAGAAAGCTAAAATTTTCTTAAGATTTTAAGAAATATGTATTTTTTTATCTGAAATAATATTTTATATTAGAATAAAAGTAAAAATATGTATAAATTAGTTTTACTCACTGCGAATAAATGTTTACTACTTTTTAGATATTTCTTCTCTCAGTGTGTAATGATCACATGTTAGGTTAAAAAAATCTCAGAAACTTTCCCCATTTTTTCTTTTCTAGTACGAATTTTATTTGTCGGCATAATAGGTTGCGTTGCGAGCCTTCGTATGTAATCTATATTGCGCTGAGTCGGGTCAAATTTGTAAAGGAGGTCGCATATAATGTAGATTTCCTTAAATAACTTCGTGTTTAGTAACGTTCTTCATAAGCTGTTAGGCGTGCATGTCGATAATGAAGCGTCTTCTCAACAACTTAACGACTCTCAGTCAGCACTTAGAGTTTATTGAACATCAAGACTGCCGAGCCGCGCGAAATGTTAAACATTCGTCTTCCTCAAAGTAGTTAAAACATGCTCGCGTTTCCGAAACTCTCGGACCGAGATAACGTTCCGATAAATCTGCCTCGCCAGTTTTCTGTCCTCTTGTCTTCGTTTTATGCGTTTTAAATGACGGCAACGCTGAAATTGGTTTGCTTTTGCCATTTATCTGTTTTACAGCCGCAGAAAGTATCGGGTTAATTTTTGTACTTTCGGACGAAACTTGTAACATATTAGTGATCGCGTTCACGAGGCGACAAGTGTAAAAAAATTATTAAGATTTTCTTTTATTTATATTGCAGACTATACGTTCTTTTGAAAAGTTCCGCGTTAATGCGAAGTATTTCGAAATAATAAAATATAGTGCAAGCACGCACTACCGGTGTGCAAATTTTAAAACGCGTAGGAGTGAAAAATCATAATGCAGCCTGACGATGTGTGTGTATGTAGCAATATTATTCCATGAATTCTCAAATCCGATGACACGCTTGTGTTAAACCACGTGAGAGTAATCTCGTTGCAAGCGTTAACTACTGAAAGTTTAACCAATGGGAATGCGGAAGCGCCGTGTGTTACCTGCGAATACATATCCGCGTATGCATGGGTTTTTATCAAAATTTCATGAGAAACGCATCGTGACAATATTCCTTATCGGTACAACAAAATCCGAAACTTTTCCAGCATTACAATGCCCGATTCGATTCACGCGCACATCCTGATTTCCGCGTGTCGCACTTTATGTAAATTGCCGTGCATTCTAACACGCGCGATACGTCGCGAGAAGTTTATACATAAGTTCGATCGCGATCGAAATAGCAATCCTCTCGATGCGAATCGCACCACATTTTCTCTTTCGCGCCCTCCCGGATTGTAAACGAGTAGAGCCGATAAGTCACCGCATCGATAAGTCGAGGGGCGAATCAAATCCGTAGAAATGATACTGAAGTCCGGGAATGGAAATCCGGCGCGAGGTTCAGATCCGGCTCTCTCAATTTTACGACCGCAATTGCCCTACACTTTTACCGAGGGGGACAAACGCACACACTTGTGGGACACTTCGCAAAGAGAATCGAATTTGCCGCGTTGAATGCACGGAAGTGAACGCGTTAGTGAATTTTTACGTCCAAAAAATTGGAACGTTTCTTCCAACGTCGTGAGTGAGCGCGTTTTTACACGTATTTCCTCATCGATACATCGGCGTGTAACGGCGCAAACGAATGAAGATACTTGTAAGGCACCTCGCGAAGAGAACCGAATTTGCCAAATATGATGCAAAATGAATACATTAATGAAGTTTTATGTCTAATAACAAGTTAAATCGGAGCGTTTCTTCCACGTAAGGTTTTCGCGCGTGTTTCTTCATCGGTATCGTGCTTCAGCGTATAACGGCGGGGTTCGTTATCGTAAGCGCTAAGAGGAAGAAATGGCACGGCTGTTTCTGAGCCGCGCCATTTTCGCGACGGCTGTATCTATGAAGCGAAATAAAGGCGGAAGTGCGGGACGTGGCACGGAATTTTATCCCACTTGTATTCTCATGGAGAAACGCGTGACTGGAACTAAAGAGCAGAGCGAAAAGAACCTCTCCTATAAGAACCAAAACATACTTCGCGGTAGCGCGTAGCGAAATAGAGTCGGTTGTAGACGTAATTCTCCACATGACAGGGGCTCCCAACTCCTGTGCATGTGGATTGTCACTTGGACTTTACGCATGAGAAATTGCGTGGACACGACTTCGCATATTGCGTGTGAAAAAGCGACGAAAAGGGAGTACCTTTGAGGTTACTTCGCGGTTTACACGATGAAATGTCGTGGCCCAAATCGACCAGCGTGCCTCGTATTTGATCTTATCGTCGACGAATAAACACGTGTATCACGCAGATTTCAATTAACTCTGCGGCGACTTAATTAAAGATTGCGTGCCGATTATCCGATCGCGGGCTAAATAAATTAGATCTTTTCGATTTAATCTTTGGTAAATGTTCGCGTCATCTCTCTCTCTCTCCCCCTCTCCTTCCCTCTTCATTCTTTAATCGACTCTGTCGATCAATGGTACGTGCGATTCATCTAGATACAATTAGCTGCGCGTTATTTGCGCGTGGATATGAACGGCGCGTCGCGACGCTCGATGATTAATTATGGCTTCGACTCACGCTCTCTGTGACTGGTAGCTCGGAGAAAGATCGAAGGAAAGGCCGCTCAAGCAGCACTGAGACCAATATTCGAGCGAGCCGATAAAAGCAACCTTCACTTGGCGTAATTCAATTTTCACGCGGCGTTTCAACGCGCTCGTTCACAACGGCCGTCCGATATATTTACGCTTTACATCTCGATTACCGTGCGCGCGCGCGCCGCAAATGAAATTTTTCCCCGGCAAGACTCGGCGAGAGCCACAGCTCGGGCTCAAGGAGCCATTATCGGCGTATCGCGGCGGTAATTCCTTGGCAAACTTTCAATACGCGACCCGTGATAATAATGCGAGATCGAGAATCTGTCGCGGCGCGGGCTAGATGGAACGTGCAACGTGGAAGAAGGAACCTGCGTTTAATCAGTCGAGCCGCGGGTGAGCGGAGGGTGCCGTCGGCGAACGCATGCGCATCTCCTTTTACATCCCCTTCAACTACCGGTCGCTAGTAGCACGCGTCGACGTCGGCGTCGTCATTGTCGTGGTGGTCGCCGCCGCCGCCGCCGTCGCCGTCGTCGTCGTCGTCGTCGTCGTCGTCGTCGTCGCCGGCGCCGCGACGCCCAGTGGCCACCGACGTGTGCCGCGTCTTTCTCTGGAGCAGTGCGCGTCCACCTGTCGCGACGACACGTCTCTCTCTCTCTTTCTTTTTCTCTCCCTGTCTTTTTACTACTCTTGCACTCGTCTTGTTGGCACTTTTGCAAAATCCCTCCGTCACACGAGTACGTGTTGTCGCGCGTGCCACGCACGTGACACCGCCGGAGGAACCTCGCGGTTCCTCACCTCTTCGTCCTCGTTTACGTCATCGACATATTCATCGTCCACGGGCAGATCTTCTTCTCCGGCCGAGCGTTTTACCTCGCGCTCTCGGATTGTCCAGCGCTGCTTGCTCGGAACGGAGGAACATCGTGTCGCCGGAACGAACGCTCGCAAGAAGAAGCTGTCAAACGCCGCACGACAGCCTCGTCGCGCATGACAGGATGCTGAGGTAAAGGGTAAACGAGCGTGCGGTCTGCTACGAGAGGGTCTCTTCGCGTGCCGCGCGTGTACGGCGCATTTGAAATTCAAATTTTCGGCGAAACATCTCCCGGTCGCCGGCGCGCGGTGGATCGTCGCGCCGCCGAATTTGAGGGACGCGTCTCTCTCGCCCTCTTTTCGAAACGGAGGTGCACGTCGTCGTGGTCGTTTCGTCGTCTTCCTGCTGCCGATGTCACTTACTGACGTAGTCGCGCCGTAGAGTAAACGCGCCGGTGTGCGCGTCGCGACGAGCAGAAAAATACGGAGCGAATCGCCGCGAACGTAAATCCTGTTTACGTCAAAGTCACTGCGTGTGTTTTGATAGTATACCAGTGAGATCTCGCCGCAGCACAATGTCGGTTCTTCGGAAAAATATATCGATCCATAGAAAAGTAACGCTCTATCAAGCGTCCATTAAGGTCCATCAAGCTTCGTTAAATTTCAAGAGGCAGTGCCTAGAAATAATTCAGTACTGTAGTTTAAGTAAACGTTACTTGTCTACTTTAATTATTTAGGAGAAAGAGAGAGAGAGAAAGCGCAAGATTGAATTAAAACAAGTTAAGTGACGTTATGATAATTTACTGTTTACGGCGGCAAAACTTAGTCGTGACATCTTTTTGATGCGCGGTTACATTTCTAAGCTGCAAAAAGCAAACACACATCTCAGCTCTTCGTCTGATTTGAGCAATACCCGCGTAGGAAATAAATGAAAAGGACCAGAAAACAGATACTTTCGTTGCACGTGCATTGAAGGAGTAGCACAAATATATTCTTAGAATTCCCTACTCGTTTCTGCGTGAAATTAAATTTCATTTTTATCTCGCTTGCGATTTTATGTTTCGTTAGTGTTGAATATTTCATGGTATTCCTGTTAACATGCTTCATAAATTATAAACTATATTGTTGACAAACATCTATTAAATCCGTGCCGAACTAGTATAAAATTATGAACTTCGTGCCAGGCAATTCCGCGAATCTCCGTATACACATGAAATACTGATCATTGCAAACTTGTGTAAAATTCAAGCGATGATTGATCGCCGCGAAACAGTGTTTTACATTCGCGACTGAGCCTACCAGCCTCAGAGACGAAGGAAGGAGCTTTAAATGAATAATGTATTACCTCGATATTACCTCAATATTATCTCAATATTACCTCAAAATGTATTACCTCAAAAGACTGTGTCTCTTTTTCGCGAAATGATCGTGTGCACATCGCCAATCATGCGGGAGAAACGGGCGAAATTAATTCGGTCGGGCACTGCCGCATTTCTGTGGCTAATCACCGCGCAAATAATCCAAATGAACTCAACGCACGTGCCGATCCGACGACAAGCTCGCGAAATAAACGAAAAATGTCTCGATAACGGTATCTTTGCCTGTAAAACGAAAATCGCGTCGCATAGGTAGTATCTACTCTTTCCTTTCCTTTCTCTCTAACCAGTGCTTCTATTGAGAAAGCGATTGTAGGGATCCACGTGCATTCCGGACAAAAAGTATTCGACTCTTGTCCTCGAAAAAAAAGCTCAATTTTTCGGCGTCTTTACAAGACATTCTGTTTGCAAGACCCTCGCTATATGGGCCCCAGACGGCAATGAGATTTCGTGGTGAATCACGACTTGCGTTTCGCGAAAGAGAGCAAGGGAGAACAATAGCGTTATTTCAAAGCGCACACCCTCTCATTCCGATTCAGGCCGCGAACGTCGTCGCGTAATTGATATTTTGCGCGTTATTCGTTAAGATAATCAATAGCTGCCGAGTGGATAATAATTAGCGCAGACATCCGCGGTGAATCTCGCGCGGAGCCGTCGCATCGAACGTTGCACAACGCCACACATCGCGTGGCTCATAATTCGTATTTTTACACGCGCGTAACGATGTGCAAGAGTAGAACAATAATTGGACGTCGTCTTTTGATCTCTTACTGTTTTATACGTCGCTTCTCTTTTGCGCAACGAGAACACGTAGTTTTATATCAATATTATAACTACTATTATAATATATCCGAGATTTTCGCAATTATATCAGCGTGATGATTACGGCGATACAGTATTTTTTCGGGCGATCTTTTTAGTCTGAGCGCTCGTCGACCTGATGTACCCCGCCTCTTCTCGCCGCGTTAAAGTTCTCATCAGAGAGAAAGAAAAAAGGTAACGGTCTCACATTTTTCCCGCCTCGGTAGTTCCTTTTGCCACGTAGTGCATTATAACAAGACGTGTATAGTGTTTCATTATTATGTGTTTCGTTTTTCCTCCTTTTTGCCCGCGCGTTTCCCTCCTCATCCGTTATTGTAGTCGTGGTGTGCAACCCGCGCATACAACCCCGTCGTCGCATACGATATTTCCTCTATCCCTCTTTTCCGTCGGAAAAAAGAGAATAACACCCGCGTGGTTTCTTTCGAAATACTTAGCCACACGGCCACGTCGCGTAAAACTCGCGGTGACTTACGACGTACGTGTGAAAGCATCGTCGCAAACACGTATACTTTATCGATAAACCATAAAACGTATATCAATTGTGGATAAGGGAAACAGGAGGTACTTCTTCGCTACGTAAAATGTAATTTTTATCCTCTTTTATTCTTTAGATACATATTGGAACTCTGATATATCTTTTAATTGGTTTCTCGGACAGAACGCTCTCGATAACTAGTCGCGAAGCAAAAGACTGGCGCCAATTAATGTCACGAAAGACAATTAATAGTAAAACGTGTCATTGCATTTTTATCGGTGTAATAGATAGATAACAGATGTGGAGAATTCGACATACATACACAACACACGCACGCACACGTGCAACTACAGCATCGTGTCGAGTGTGCTCCGACACAGCTGTGTGCTCAATGCGAACAGTGAAGAATCTCCCTTTTATAAGATCCCTCACTATCGTTCAATGAGAGACAAACAGCAGCGGCGCGCTCGAGTTAGAAGCGTGCAGGTGGAATCCGGAAGTGTGATATTAAAATCCTAAGTAGCGTTATGCCCTACTTTTTCTACGGCCATTTATCGGCACTGAAAGCGCTCAAAGTGCGAACGCCATTAGATCGTATTTTACGCAAGAACTTTGGCGAGGATGCGCCGACTTAAGCGCTCTTGAGGGCGCGCACGCTTGAGCGAGAAAAAGGAGGAGCGGCCATTTAGCAATTTCGACACGTATGATTGAAGACGCATTAACTTATATCGCATAGTTCTTGGAATGCTCGCGTGGCAAGAACACGAGCGGAATTGTACATACGCTTTGTAACTTTCAACCTTGCCCCGGGAGACTCTCGCGCGAAATTTCTCGACCCCGCTTTGCCCGACGACTTGAAATTATCCCGGCGTTTCCCGCTGTGCGAAAATGAAATGTTCAAAGGGATCTTTAGAAATGTATAAAACAAATTTGTGGAACACATTCAAGGAGATGCTAGCGGCTTCGCATTTAGACGATTGCGAGAGAATCATGAATTATAGAAGAGATTCCCGGACATGTGAGAACTTTTAAGTCAGATTATAATCGGAATGAGAAAATCATTTAATATTCTCTCTCGCTTATGTGCTGTATTAATTTCATAACGTCCTACGTTCAAGATGGCTGCAAACGTAATTAACTTTGCCCGGAGTCACTCGAAACAAAGATATTGCATCTCTGAAAGATCCATTGTGGTAACGGCATGCAAGTGAACGTAATTCTCTAAATTCTCTAAATTCGTCGGCTTTATCTGGCCATATAAAACCGAGATATATTTCGGTTTTAGAAATTCAACAATTTTTCTCCTCGATTCCTCTTTAACAAAGCGCGAATATTTTTTCTAAATTAACTTTTGATAAAATTACTTCTCTTATTTACGATAAGTAACGCAGTATACAGAACCCAGAAATATATATTTCATCTCCATATTGTCCTCACACCCACACACACAAAAAAAGGGAGAAGAGAGGAAAATTTTATTCTTTCTCTCTCGTGGACCCTCCGATTTGAACGTAAAAGCCATTTTCACGAAGGGACTCCGGGACTCGTGCCGTCTACAGTATTAAAAAGTACCGCGTTGTCAGCGTCATCCGGGCGAGATGCAGACTCGCAAAGCGAGAATCTTAATCCCCCGAATCCTTTTTTACGCTTCTTCGTGGCTTAACGTGCGACACGAGAAAGTCGAGATGCGGAACGCGATAGGCGCGGACGCGCGCCATCATTCGAACATGCTTAAGTAAATATGCATCAAGTTGTTTCACGTGTCGCGACCCATGATCGATCGGTGTGTTGCACGTCAAACCGGAACGTCGTAATTATCGTCATAAATCTTGTCTGGTGTTACGCATCAGCAGAAGTTAAAGTGAACTAACATGGGCGCGCGTCTATAATTAGCATCACCCGTCTAGACCGAGCGAAGCTCATTTCGGTCGCGTACTTCTCACTCGGAGTGTTCTCCGTTGCTAAGCGATGTTACCCTGTCGCGCCCCCGCCGCCGCCAATTCCCAGAACTTGAACGATTATCTGAGGAATATATAAGCCGCGAGTGATCCCGACGATACCCGATCTTCTAATTTCGGCTTCGCGCTTTACAGCAGCTTTTATCGTAAACCGAGCTTTACAACCCTTCGTGTTCTTCTTACGGAGCGTCACCATTGCGCGCAATCCGATATCGTCTACGTCGTCTACGTAGCTCTTCGTTTTTTATTTCTCTCTCTCTCTCTCTCTCTTTCTCTCTCTCTCTCGGTCACATTCGAGTTATGGCAGTACACAGAAAGTTCTTAATGCGGCAGATATTTCAAGCCGGTTCGCGTAAATAAAGTCGAGCAGTGTCGAACGATCGATAGTGTATCTCTTCCGAGCGGTTTAAATTTAAAGCAGTCGACTGTAAGAGGCGCGCGCGAGACAGTCCCTTCCTGTTGCTACAAGATACACCGCGATCTCCCTCTGGTTACGATTAATGCGGAAAAGGTTTCAACCTTAAGGTAGAAATACTCTCGACTCCCGGACACGTAGTTAATC